ATTTGGTGAAAGCACAATTGCACAGGAGTCAACTAGCACTGCCAGATTGTTATCTACAGCTTTTAACAGTGATTGACAAAAAATGATGTGGATGCGGCTGGGAGGACCCGACAGTGTTGGAGTTCAGCTGCTAGAAACTGTTGGACATCCGGCATTTAAGGCAGTTAATCAGACTTGTGCTGTCACTCTGTGTCGTGGGTCAGTGCAGCTGGATGTCATCAGCAAAACAAGACACTGCAGAGTCTGTAGCCGTGCTAGCGGCTCACTGAGGCTGCACCTGGCCGCTGTGGCGCTAACAGTCACTGATGTTTACATGCTGGTGTTTTGCAGGTTTATTGTCAGCTCTGTAGTATTCAGCAGTTTGCTAAGAGCTGGAAAAACTGAACTTTTGGCCCAGTGATGGCACAAGATGAAAGAGAACGGACAACCAAAATGAGTACAGTTCATCCTGAGGGGAGCATGAATGTCAAATTTCACGACAAACCATCCAGTAGATGTTGAGAAATTTCACTCAAAACCTTAAATATTCTTGATGTCGGTAATAGAAGGAAACAGAGAATCACTGAAGTCAGTAGGGTTTATCATTAGGGGACCTTGAATGCCTTTATGTGGTCATGAGTTTGACGTTCTCATCCCTGGAGCCACAGTGGTACTATGGGCTGAAATGAAAAAAATAAAAACTGTAGTAATGCAGACATTAATGGTTTCAAGAGGACAAACTTGAATCATCCTGAGGACACCGTGACTTTTCCACACATTAGTTCGCAGTGATGAGATAACAGAACCAACAGTCTGAATGACCTCCCAGCCAGAATACTCACATATCTCAACATACACAAAATTAACAGAACAATAACAGCTGCTGGGAGACGTGTCGTATCTTGTGTTGGTTCCAGTTTCCACAGATTTGATCTCTTTTCTCCAAACTCATGGGAGCCTCAGAGGGTGGGTCGGCTTTTAGCCTTTCGCCCGGTTTCCACTCAGTGTTACATGAGGTCACCACATACTAACTAACAGCCTGCTTTGGCCTGGACTTACCTGGCCAAGCAAGGTCACAGAGGTCTGACTTTTTATAACTGCTCATAATTGCAAACATCTGGCTGTGACTGGATCTCTGAATTGAACACATTTTTCTTCTGAGCACTTTGTCTGAACGTCATCTTGGATCACTTCCTGCAGGTTGTCTCGACATCGGCTGCATTTATACTGTATGGAGACTAAACAGCTTTGTTATCAGTCTGTTCCCGATGGTTTCACATTATATGGTTTAGTACATAAATGCCAGAATCAATGAGAAATGTGCTAAAATGCTCAGATTTGGTTCAGCTGAAACTCTCCCAAGTCCAGTAAAGTGTTCATTGTTTCTGCAAGAACACTAAGAATACTGGACGGTGTCATAAATAAAAAAGGAACAATTAATTGATGATTTCATCACCAGCTATTTTAGTAATCAATTAATTTACAGTAAAAACTAACTAAAGAAATACAATAATAATAATAAAGAATTATAAATAAACATTTTCTTTACTGTTTTCTAAGATTTTGGAGACTGAATGATAATTTAATTGATTAAAAAGTTCAATTTGTCTGCAGCTCTTACATTTTTCTAATATATTCTGATGGATACATGGTGTGCTCTCCCTTTTTACACTTGTTTGAAAAAAGTGAGAGCGATTTTTCAGAAAATGTGAAACTCTCCAACTGAAGAGTTTATTATTTACATTGTGCTGCGACCAGACGGACTGAAAGAAAAGTCACATTTAGTCAAATGGTGATTTAATAGTAGTAATAATCTGTGCACAGTAGTTTTTGTGATGTCTGACACAAGATTTGTTATATGCAGCCTCAAAGTTTTCTTTTTTGGCACAACACAAAATAGGAAATGAAATGTGCAACATCTGAGCATTAATTTCACGGGTTTAAACATAAAACTAAGAATCACGAGTTAACACAGTGACAACAGATTTCTCTTGAAGGGTAAAAATCTAATCTCAGATCATTTTGAGTCTCAAGATGTTCGAACATGTCTTTCCCTCTCTGGTGTGAGTTGCAGCTAATTCCAGCAAACTGTCAGGACAGATTTTACTGTTGTTCAAGAGAAAAGTGTTTGTTTGATGCGCTCATTGCAAAATATATGGGAGGAACCATTTGACTTTGTTGTAGAGCCACGGAGTCCACAGAGGGAGGATGTTGGGGTGGATGGACAACACTTACATTTGTTCATTCAGGCTGGTGAGTCTGTGGATATTATTGGCAGCCTTTTGACTTTGTCTGCTGCAGTTTGGTTGATGGTTTAAAACTTTAGTGCTTTATTGTGTTTTGGTCTATCTCGGTCGGTGGTTGGCAGATACGGGTTTGTTAATGTCCGATGACAGTATCTGGACATCATGATGACATCTGATGTTGTGCTTACAGATTTATCGTAGCCCATATATTACAGCTTATGTGAAAACACCAAATCGCTCTGTGCAGCAGTTACTTTTAATTCATAAGTTTTCTTTACTCCAGCACCCATTTTCCAAAGTTCCCCGTTAAATGAAGCTTTAGCGTGTACTTCATGTGCTACTTCAGGTATGCAGCTGGATCTACAGACATTTCCATTTAAATCCAGTTTATTTCTTCAACATTAAGATAAACTTTGTTGTCCTTTGAGACATTTATTTTGGTGTCAGTCACTGTTACACACAACCTTCAATACCAGACGTACATAGCTGCATCCTTGTAACAATAAATATATTAAAAGGCTAAAGGTCACATACAGCGGAGCATTTCGAGCAGGAAGTTTATGCAGCATTTATTTGAAACAATGCAAACGTCAATAAAAACACAGAAGTATTGTGATAAGCTTAACAATAAAGCAATAAGACAGTAAGAAATTTGAAATGAATTTATATAGAAAGAAAGCTACAGTGGAAACAATTAGAAAACAACACAAAGGAGAGTATTGCACATGCTGAGGTATATATGTTTAAACTAGCAAATCAGAAAATTTGATCCAACGATCTTGTTTCTGCTTCATCATACAAAATAATGCATCAACTCAGTAAACAAGGTAAACAAGATAAACAAGATAAATGAATGCATTTCATAACAGCTGTTTATGGTGGGAAGGTAGTGGAGCGTTTGGCTTTCTGTCAGCAAAGTCCTGTCCACTGCTGTGACACGAAACAACACCAAACCACAGATTCAGAGGTCCAGACCCAGTTTTAGACAGAGAAGTAAAATAACACCTAAACCTCATGGCTGTCTAACTATCGCACACCTTCTGACGAGATGAGCTGTGAGTCCACCTCAGGCTGTGGACCGTTGGCTGGTTAACCCTGATAAACTAGAGATGACAGGCGTCCTCCACCTTTAGTTTTAATCTCTGGTGAGCAGATAAGTGTCCCAACCTCACCTCCATCAAGAATGTAAGAGATGAACTCAGGTGAGAGGCGGCTGACAGCCGGTGTCGTATTCAGGCGTCCTTCTCTTCACAATGAATGTGTGATAGATGTCTGGAATCCAGACAGAGCTGATGTGGGAGTGAAAAATGAAGGTGTTGCTCTCTGACCTCATCTGTCCTGCACAGAAACTTTGAAGCATTTCAATCTGAACTTTAACTGAAATGTGTTCTTAAATATTGGTGCTTGTTGTTTCGAGCTGTAACAAATGGTTCTTTTTAATGAATACACTGAGTGTTCTTACAATAATGTTGTAGTTTTTAAAATGTCCCACTAGATAGAAAAGATATCCATCATATTTAGTATTGTTTCCCCGAACAGTTTAAAACCCAAAGACAGAAGCAGTTCATGGGATGAAATCAAATATTTTTATTAAAAAATCAACCAACTTGTGTTACATGAAAATATGCAAGAAAACAAGAATCTCAGGGTGAAAACCTTGATTTTCCCTCGAAGGGGCTCTTTAAGAAGAGCGCTTGATTGTTATGGTTGTTTGGAGATGGTTCGGTCTGTGATCTTGGCTTGTTTGAGCAAATCTGGAGTCTGTTTTTGGCTTTAAGGAGCAGCCTCTCACTATATAAGTGTGTATAGAATAAATACAATAGTATGTTGTCTTTGGGTTACAAACTGCAGCTACTGATGCCACAAACAGCAAAACTTAACCTGATGGAATTTATGTAGTTTCAGTTCAAAATATTATTTGTGGCTCCAACCACAGGTGTTGGATTCATTTTTTCAAACACCTTTCTGTAGGGTGAGGCTAATTTTGTGGCAGCCAGCAGCTATAACTCACATTTCCAGGCACAAACTTTGTCACCTTAACTGACTGGAATTACACCAAACACGTATATTTGCTACAGCGTGCTAATGCTAATGGACATTTTGGAGATTTTGATTAATTTTAAAGGTAACTTTTCTTGGCTGAAGCCTGAAAACCCTTAAACCAGACTCTGAAGAAAAACTTGTCTCATTAGCAGCTGAAGTGTTCGTTAGCTTGTATTCATTATGATCACCTGATGGAGCGCTCCGATTGGCTCCCCAGAGGCTGATTCTCTAAAGTGTGCACACATCAAACACACATGGTGAAAGCGTAGGCGGTACACAGAGTGATCCCTATTCACCGGTTCTCTCTGGGGCATGAGGAAACTGTCGTGGATACACCGTGTACTTCGTATTTTTTAAATTAAAATATTAAACTGTGTCTGCAACAAAACGTTTTGCAACCAAGTCTGACATAATAGCCACAATCTCTGGATGAAAAATGCTTCATGGAACAACAACTACATGAAAAGTGCAGCATTTTCCAGCCCATAAAAATAACATTAGCCTACAGACACGGATGTTAAGGCTTCAAAACAACGCCTTCCATGTGATCACGTGTGTTAAGAAGTCGGTGTGTGTCCAGCTGATGCATTTAAACGTTGGTCGGAGTCTAAAACAAGCAAAATGTTATAAAAAGGTAGCTGGAGCAAGAGATCTCCTGAGTATCTATTAAACCCCAACAAGTTCTCATTGTTCTGTGTTTTGCTAACTGATTTCCCTCCTCTGGTTTCTCAGGGAGTCCTGCACAGGCGAAGGAGGAGGTGGAAGGTGGAGGCTCCGTCAGGTTGTCCCAGTCGTGCTGCTGTGGATGACTCTGCACAGGCACGGTAGGATTCTACGTCCATGCTGTTTAGTTAAACAGAGCTGCACTGGGAAAGCTCTGGCCAGATAGATTTTATCTTTATTTCCCTGTTTAATGGAGAAATGGAAGCCGTGTTGCTCTCACAGCTGTCAAACTGACAAAGAAGAGTCGATGTTGCAGACAGGAGGCATGGAGGCTTGTTTCACTTTTGCTTTAATTGAAACGGACCGTTAAGTTTATATCACATTGACAAACGCTTCTACTGTTTTTACACAAACTCTCATGAGAAAATTAACTGAAATTAAACTTTAAATGAGATGTTTTAATACAGTATATGCCAATTAAAAAGTCTTGTGTGTGTGTGTTGGGAGAACTATAAATGCTTTTGTCTTATATTTTTGGGGACCAATGTGAGTTTTAGACCTCGAAAGTGGCATGTTTTGTGCACTTTCTTTTTTTCTTTTCCTCACATGTTTTTGGGCATTTTCAGTCTTTGTTACAGACAGTGAGAGATGAAGATGCAACTATTGTTCTTTATTAGATTAAAACCTGGGACTTTCGTGCCTTTAAGGTGCACAACCTGCAAAAGTTTCTTGTAAACAAACAAAAGTTACACTGAGTTGTCCTGTGAACCTTGTGGCAGGTAAATGAAGAGCTGTGTTTGTATTCCCTGCACGAGGTCAAACACATTTCTGCCAGGTTTGCCCGTTGTCTTCAATCTGCTCCACGTCAACACAGCCTGCAGTTCAACCCAGTGGAAAAGTCCCTGAATTTTTCTTTGTGTGTAGATGAGTCACTACTGGCTGCATAGTTGCACCACAAACTGCAGATACTTGGTTTTTTGCAGAATCTGATAAGAGCAAACAATTTATTTTTGACAATTTTTAAATGGGAAAGCTTGAATAACGTGTGTTTACTGAAATATCGCAATTTAAGTTTAGATGCGGTTAATTTATCCGAAGGAACTGAAGTTGTTTTTACAGTTTCTGGCTCTGATAAATGGCGTAGCCGCCGGCGGTTCAGAGGATTAATAGTCGAGTGTTTGTGCGTGTTGTGAGTGTAGATGCGAGTGGTTTGTTGTGTTGCCCAAGAAATATGGTGAAGTGTGCTTTGCTGAGACAAACGACATCAGCGCACACCGTTTATTACCGTTATGCAGGCAGCGCTGCAAATAACGCCACAGAAATCAGTTTGTATTAATATTTCCTGGACAACAAACAGCTGTGAGAGCAACTCGACAAAAACTGAAAAGCTAAATGGCGACACATCGAAATCATGTGCAGCCTTTACTTAGATGCTGAACAGTGAATCCTGAACAACTGAAAGTCACAATTTAAAGAAGTGAAGTAAACTCTGTGTTCACTGTCGGCGTTAGTATGTGGACTTATTGAAGCATCAGATTGGAAATGAATCTAAATGGGTGTTTAAAATGGCAACACGGTGCATTATGAACCCATGACAATATTGAAACTGTGCTCTTCATGACATGAAATACTTCATTAAATTTAATTTTCTGATGTTTGTGTGATGATCCAAACTCAGAATTAGGCTGCACCATTAAGCAAAGTGCTCTTTTTAATTTAATTTTACAGTACAAGATAGTTTTCCATCCTGTTTGGGAAAGCACAGTCGATATTTGAAGTCACATGAACACTGTGCTGCACTTTATTGTCAAATGTTGTTTTTGCCTTCTCTCATGTCATTCATGTTTTCCATGCCGTTTGCCTGCTGTTGGGAAAAATGTTGCATCTTTGACTTCAGGAGAAATTTAAGGGAAGTTTTGCACCAAAGCGTCCTCGTGACAAATCGACGGGCGACCTGGAGACGATCTGTTAAACGGCTGCATTTCTTTAGAACGACATGGGAAAACCAGTGTTTCTCACAGATGCAGCGTTTTTCATCTGACAGCAGCGATTTATATGATTTACATCTTTCATTTGTGTCTCCTCTTCTTCCCATGTTTCCATCTTCCATACGCTTGTTTCCTCTTCCCTTCATCCCACTTTGTTGTTTTCTCATATTTTCCGTCCCTGCGCTCGAGCATGCCTCGCTCCCTTCATGCCTCCATTAACAAAACCGCCTGTCATGTCGCAGAAAAGTTCCGACTTTTTCATGAAATCTGCAGTCAGATATCTTTTCCGTCTGGTTTATTCTTTAATCACTGTCGAGAGCTTTTGAACCGCTCGCAGCATCGATACATGTGCAGCTCATCACCGGAATCACGCTTTGAAGCTTTGATTCATTCATTCCAAGTTTTGCCAGAAGTCCATCCTTCCACATCCACATGCAGCAGGGTTGCCTTCTATCCACAGCTGTGTTTTCACAAACACATTCATGAATGTTGTAGACATTTGATTTTCTTCAACTTCAAGAAGTTTGTCTGTCAGTGATGCATTCAATGTCACATTCCTGGGTTCAGCTTCTTGTTTGATTGGGAACCAAATGAATACGTTACGCCAGAAACCTGTTTTGAAGTCGAATAAAGTCTGATAAAATCTCACGGTTCATATATTACAAGTCACCACATGCAGTGATTTGGTCATTTGTTTGTTGTTTGATCGTTCCTCTGTGGTTTGTTCCATTTTGGACTTTTATTTTTTTTTGAAATTTTGGAAAGCGAGGCCACATGAAGGTTTTGGAAAGTTTTTTTTTTGGTCTGTGGGCTGCTTGAACCAACCACTTGTTCCTTTAATTATTTGACGCATCAGTAATTCCTTCAAACATTTGTTCAATCATCCGTTTGTTTGTTCCATCATTTGGTGCTCATTGATTTATTTTTTATGTCGATTGTTCCTTTAAATGATCTGTTGACCGTCATTGGTTGCTCAGTTTATTTGTGCCTTTGATCAAATGTTCATTCAGTGTTTTTTCTTTTAAATGTAGTTTATATTATTCGTCCAAATGGTCAGTTTGAGTGGTTGTTGACTGATTGTTAATTCATACATCTGTCTGCGTTGTCAATCATTCAGTTTGATTGAAGGGTCAGTCGCTCCTTCAGCTGTTTGTCTGTTTGTGCTGAATTCTGCATCCTCAGATTGAGAGAGAACACTAATCACCAGCTATGTGCTTTTGACCGTGTCAAGTTGTAGCTCATATATATCAGAGTGGTGTTACGCCCATGTACTGTCCATAAAGGTAGACGAACCCTCGGTGACGTCACCCATATGTTTCCTGAGGAGCAGCTTTTACTCTTCATCCGGCCTCGTCTTGGCAGCTCCTGACTTCCCTGAATTCCCGTCTAATGCAAAAATTGCTAAAGACGTGGAGCTAATATGGGCCATGCAAACCTCTCTGGGCCGTTTACTGTCTTGTGGTGGCACTTTCATGTCACTCAAAGTAACTACAACCTAAACTATACATAACTTTTAACATTAGTACAATTTAAACAAGTGAGTTCTATAAAATAATTCACCCTCTGTATTGTCGTCACAAATTGGAGCCAAAACCGTTCTTTGTACCAGGCTATAAATGGGTTTATTTCTGCTATAAATGTTGACATTTTCACATGGGGGTCTATGGAGATTGACTCCCTTTTGGAGTGAGCCTCTAGTGGACATTCAAGGAGCTGCACTTTTTGGCACTCCGACACTGTCTTCATTTGTCAGCACTGAAGGCTGCTGCTTGGTTGCACCTCATCTACACCTGTGAGGAGTTTGTGCCGCTGCTGTCGGGAGCAGAGCGTCTTCAAGCAGTTAATTCTGGTGTTAAAACACGTGTCAGGAATCGCACAACTTTATATGTGTCCACTCAAGACCACACAGTAACTCACAGGTTCTGTTCGTTCACATTGCACAGGTTTACATTAGTAGGAGTATGTTTATGTTGATGGCCTGTTGGACATTATGAACTCACCAGAATACAGCTGTATGCACGCTTTCATGAGTAAGTGAGGCGTTTATATCATTTGCAAGTGTTTTTCAGAGACAGGTGAAAAAAATAACAGTAAAAAATGATTGTCTGACAGTCGTGATGGCGCCTGAACATGATGCAGTCGGATCCTTTGTGCGCTGGATCTCATGAACAAGTTAAAAGTGCAGAAAGGTGCCAAAATAATCCGAAAAGCTGATTGCAATTCATAACAGCAAGTCTGTGCCTGCTGTAACAAATACAGCATGACCACACACACACACACACACACACACACACACACACACACGCACACACAGTAATTGAATATTTAGTGTTTCATTAAAGTTTTATTTTTAAGGTTTGGCAGAACTCTGTCTTTGGACAAAAGTTTGTGGACACACAAACCTTCGCTCATGCTGCCTCCATAACAGCCTTCAGCCTTCTGGTTTCTACACTGACAAGATGTTAGATTGTGCAGACCACTCACGTTCTTACACCCCAAAACTGTGAAAACTGTTGACGAGAGGCGTCTGCATACGATTGGCCATACTTTGAGCGGTGTTTTCTTTTCGTATTAGTGCTACGAGAGGACTGGAGGTAGTGAAGAAAGAGACAGAAGGCAGAGACCGATCTTGGCTGTTGATATTTTCCACATTGATGCCAATAGCGCTCATTAAATTGAAAAATTAAAACTCTTACACAAAGTGAGGCAGAGCAGGAGAGAGACAGATGGTCGAGAGGGGAGGAAAGTGTGGCGGCGAGCGAGAGACGTGAGGTGAAGAGGGAGAGACGGGAGAGAGAGAGTGTGTTTAATGTGTTTTCCATACCCTACCAGCAGCCTCGGGCCAAACCGAGCGGTTCACACACACTCGTAAAGTTCCCAGCAGTACCAAACCACAGCACACACACACACACACACACACACACACACACCTACACACACACACACACACACAAACGCAGAGGTTAGCGGTGGACGCTCTGCTTCTGGTGACAAGAACATAACCCACATGTGTGTGTGCTGCTGACCGGTAGATAAACTGCAGGTTTAAACGGTTCAAGGCCAGGAAACTGTAAATATCTCAGTGTGATGAAGGAGAAGAGAGAAAGAGGCAGACGTGAGGTTTGACCGAGCTCTTTGTCACCGCTTTTGTTCGTTCAGGGCGACACAATCAG